AAGGAGGGGGGGGAGTGGGAGGAGTGGGAGGGTGTTGGGAGGGGGGGCGGAAATGGAAACTTTTATAATGTAATAAAATTTACTAAAAAAAAAAAAAAGAAAGAAAGAAAAGTTAAAATCCTCAATTTGGCCAAGCGAATATTCTGCTGCAGCCCCTCCCCCATCTGACCCACAGGAATCAGCATCTTAGGTGCCACCTTTGTGGATGAGGCCAGGGCAGCAGCCACTCACAGCCCCAAAGAGTGACTTCCAACACCTTTCTCAGTCAATTGCTCACCCTGGCCTGTGACTTGCTGCCTGCACACAATGGCTGCCCAGACAGCATCTTTGTCCATGCATCTCACTGAGGGCTCCAGACTGTGATGACTGACAGTTATTGCAACAGACAAGACCTATGGAGATGGTCCTGCTTAGAGCCTGCCTACACCCACAGTGCTTTATCTTCAAAGAAAAACTTGCCATGAAACACAGTGTAATGGAGTGAAATATCCTTGGGACTGGAAGCTAAAAATCCATATCCAGACCAGGAGTCACTGTTAAAAATCAAACTAAGTGAACAAATTTGTTCTCCTTCTGCTTTTGTTTTGACTTTTGAGGCAGAGTATTGTATGTAGTCCAGACTGGCCTGCTCTCTCAGCTTTTCAGGTTCTGAGTTTACAAGTGTGTCATGAGACATGCAGCTTATACATCCCTTCTAAGTAATCCTGGGCTTCGTCTGTCAGGCTCTGCCACTTAGAAGTTCCTGTGGATGACACAGGCCAGGATGAGACAGAAGAGGACAGGCACACGCCATGCCTTTTTCAGTTGTCACAGACTCTGAGCCCAGGAATCCAGATGAAGAAGACTCCAAACAGCAGCCATGAGTGAGTCAGGCAGCTCGTCCTGCATGGAGAACTCTGGTGACCTCCCAGAGTCTGGTGACCCACAGCAGGGGTCACAGGTGAGGTGAGTTCAGTGGATCTGACTAGGGAGGCTCAACAGAGTTTACACTATCAGAGTGCAGAGGCCCAGGAGGAGGTCAATGGGTTCACACTAGGAGAGTGTAAGGGCGGCACACACTCCCTGGGGAAAAAGTCATACTCGCTCAAATTCTGATAAGAGCCTGCAAGTTTCTGATAGGCCCAGAGCACACATACCCTTTGCTCTGGAAGCCAACCGACACTTGCACCAGGGTAGGTACTTGGTGAATAGAGCCCAGGGACCACTAAGGTCAACTGAGGTCTGTGGGGCACTTCTATATGCCTAATAGCTCTATACCAGTTAAAGAATGGCTGGCCACTGTTCTGTCCTAGGTGACACACTCACGTATCACACTCAGAGATATCTGGCATCATGAATGTATTATTATCATTATTCAAAAGTCCAGGAGCAGCTAGAGATACAAAAGCACCTAGGAAAAGATCCCGCTGCTCCTTTATCCCCTGACCTGCAGGTCCGGCACAACTCAGATCCCCTGCTACTAGGCTGGCTCCTCAGTATGGGTCACCTCGTCCTGCATCAGTGTTTTGCTTGGAAGAAGGCTCCTCTGTGGGCTTTGGGAGACACATCTGGAGTCAATTTTCTCCTTTCACAACATGGGTTCTGGCCCAGCTTAGATACAGGCACCTTTTCCTGCTGGGTCATTTCACAGGCTCTGGTAAGGGAATTTGAGGACACACATTTCCTACAATTTCTTCTGAAGTGTCTATGAGATACTCCCTCACTATAGTCTCAGCCTCTGACTCTGCAGAACTCACCAGTTTTAAGTAAGATTTCCAATGTCCCCTCAAGAGTCTGGTCCTACATAAGGAGGAAAAAAGAGAAGGAGCCCATAGATCACAGGATTTAACCATTAGCTAGTTAGTCTGGTGGAATGTTGGATTTCCAGGCCTGAGTCTGTGCTACAGCGGTGTGCACTGTGTGTCATTAACAGGAAACAGAACATGGGAAACTTGCTCAAATGGGAATTTGGATCCAAAGTGGAGTAGGTAGAGAGGTTCCTGAAACAGGGAAAGGTCATTGAACTGAACTGAGGAGAAAAAGGTTATAGGAGCCAGGAGGTAATGGATAGGGCCAAGCCCGGTCCACCATTTCTGCTTCAAATTTAGTCTCTGTGGAAGGCACAGCAAGGCTCCCAAGGTCCTTCTAGGACCCCAGTATCCCTTCCTTTAACCTGTATCACCACATTCACAGTCCACCCAGCAACGAGGCCAGGGCAGGTGTTGGGGTGGAGAGGAGGCTGCAAAAAACTGTAACTGGAAATATCAGGAGGGCTTCTCTAGTAGACGATGCTGAGGATGTTGCAGGCAGAGGATGGGATGCAGCTCTGGGAAAGGTGACAGAGGTCAAAGAGAACTGCATGAGCATGCCCGCCACCCCGAAAACTGCTCCCTGCTTCCAGGACTTACAGTTTCCCGAGTCCACATTCAGGGTCCCTCATCCCTTGCAGTCGTGATTTTAAGTCGACACATCACCCTCCCTGCTCCAGTGTGAGTTT